TCCCTTCTGGCCCTGTGGACTTTGCATGACATGGGTGCACTTACATACATGCAGGCAATACACATAAAAAAAATAAATAAAATCTTAAAAAAATATAATAAAAATTGTTAAAGAGAGGACCAGGTGAGCAAAAGATGGTACATTTATGTCTTATAACACTAGGACTCTATTAATGTGGTAGCTTTATGTGAACTAATATAAAAAGATCTGGATATTTGTTTTCTGAAAGAAAATACATGTATTTTTTAAATTTGTACTTATGTATGTATGTATTATTTTATATGTATGAGTGTTTTTCCTGAATGTATGTAAGTGCACCCATTTTGTGCAGTACCCACAGATACTGGAAGAGGGCATCTAATCTCCTGGAACTGGAGTTGCAGACAGTTGTTAACTACCATGTGGGTGCTGGGAACCGAACTGGCATCCTCTGGAAGAGCAGCCAGGGCTCTTAACCACTGAGTCATCTCTCCAAATCCTAATATTTAGTTTTTTGAAACAAAGGCTCACTATGTAGCCCATGCTGGCCTCAAACTCACTACAGGCTGGCCTTGAAATCTTGATCTTTTTCCTCACCCTCCTGAGTCCTTGGCTTAGAAGTGTGCACCACTGTGGTGAGTCATTTTGTTTCCTTTTGTGCAGTTTCCATGGAAGAGTACACAGAAGTTGCTAACAGTGGTTGGCCAGCAACAGTTGGCTGAGTGGGGCTTAGGAAGCTGAGAACAGGCAGGTTTGGGAGGGAGATTTACTAATGAAATACATACATATATTTTTGTAATTTATTGTTTTTATTTTATGTGTACGCATGTATTGCCTGTGTGTAGGTAAGTGCACCCGTGTCATGCAATGCCCAAAGAGGACAGAAGAGGCTGTCAGATCCCCTGGAACTGGAGTTATGGACAGTTGTTAGCTGCCATGTGGGTGCTGGGATTTGAACCCGGGTCTTCTGCAAGAACAACCGGTGTTCTTAACTGCTGAGCCATCTCTCCAGTCCCAATAAAATATATTTTACAATATATTCTTTTTTAAAAAATATTTTGTTAGCCAGGCGTAGTGGTGCACACCTTTAATCCCAGCACTCGGGAGGCAGAGTCAGGCAGATCTTGTGAATTCAAGGCCAGCCTGGTCTACATAGTGAGTTCCAGGACAGCTGGGGCTACAGGGAGACCCTGTCTCAAAAAGACAAAAAAAATTATTTTATTATTTTTATTTTATGGGTTTGAGTGTATAGCCTGCATGTATGTAAGTGCATCCATGTCATGAAATTCCCTTGGTTGGTCAGAAGAGGGCACCAGATCTCCTGGAACTGGAGTTACAGATGGTTGTTAGCCACCATGTGGGTGCTGGGATTCGAACCTGGGTCCTCTGCAAGAGCAACCAGTGCTCTTAACCACTGAGCCATGTCTCCAGCCCTTTATAATATATTCTTTTGTATGTGCGTTTCGTACAATGTATAGGGTTAGTTATTCAAATAAGTGAAATAAAATTTTAAACTATCTCCTGAAGAGAGAGAAACAGAATGGTCTTTGTTCCCAATCACAGACAGGCAAGAGCCAGAAGTCAGGAAAATTGAGCATTCGTGTTTCTTGAGAAGAATGCTCTTATGAAACTGAAATTCCAGGTGAGAAAGTCTAGAGATTCCTCTATGCTAGTGTTTCTTCTGTGGCGGAAGAAAGGAAAGTCAGAACAATGAACATTTGCTGAGAGACAAAGAACCCATAAATATTAAGGTTGGAAGGCAGGGAGAGCCTGTTTTGGAGCTGGCTCAACCCCAGGTATCCCTCCATCATCATCTGACATGCCTGGTCCTTGCTAGGAGCATCTTCTGCACCTCCTGTGCCCTCCTCCAGGCCAGACTTCGTGCAGAGGAGGCCAGTAGGTGCTCTTGCCTGCATGCCGCTGCTCCCTTCTGGAATCCTAAGCAGCACCCAGAACACCCAGCAAACTCATCATGTTCTCCATCCTTCTGGGACTCAGAGCTGCTCCTCTTACCATCTGCAGGCTATTAGGTGTCTTTGTAGTCCCTATGCCTCCCTGGGTGTCAGATGTCCTTCCTGGAAGCCTCCTGTCCCTGGGTCAGATGGTAAGCCTGTTCCCTGAATTCTAAGCCTTACTTCTTACTTATCCCCAAAGTCCTATGAATGATGATAAAACATTGGCGGTGAGTGTAATCTCACTCTTCTTTAAGGATTCTCTGCCTGTCTTCAAATCACAGCTCTCGTTTGGTCCTCACAACAGTCCATAGGAAAGAACTGATCTCTAGTTTTGAACCAACAGTAAAATATTTGTGGGAAGATTTGTTTTCCAAGTACATGACTATGTTTTATCTCCTTGTAGCTCCTGATGCCCCGAGACAGGCCAAACCCATGAATGCAGGGTAGGGTCTACAGTGATCTTGTCTGAAGAGGCAGCTATGGATCAGTGAGCCTTTGGGATACAAATTCGTTATCTTTGAATTTTATTTTATTTTATTTTATTTATTTCTGGTCTTTTTGAGATAGGGTCTCCCTGTAGCCCCAGCTGGCCTGGAACTCATTATGTAGACCAGGCTGGCCTTAAACTCACAAAGATCCTATCTCGGCCTCCTGAGTGCTGTGATTAAAGGCATGCAGCACCATGCCCAGCTTATCTTTGAATTCTTAATGCATTCTTCTGTTTGGTTTCTTTTTGAGATGGGCTCATTGTGTGTCCCAGGCTGGCTTAGACCTCTCCATCCTCCTGGCATCACAGCCATGCTCCACCTGCCTGGCTTCCAATGGATTCTTTACACCTGTTTCCTCAGGTGTAAAAAGGGCAAGAGCATCAGCAGCAATGTTTGGAAACAGTTTAGGAACTCTTAGGGGAATGGGGCAATTCTTTTCATCCTGAAGATACATCTACCTAATAAAATACAGTCAGATTACCATGTTTTAATTTCTCTATGTGTAGCATGCCAGTCAATGGATTCAAAGGCTCATTTGTTTCATTCTATTTTACTTTTTAGGAAGTTTCAATATTTTAGTATGTTTTATAATTATGTCACATACTTGTATATTTCAAAGCCTATACATAGCCAAGTGAATTCAAAATTGAGATGGGCATGATGGCACACATCCTTAATCCCAGCACTTGAGAGGCAGAGGCAGGTGCACCTCTGTGAGATCAAGGCCAGCCTGGTCTACATAGCAAGTTCAAGGCCAGCTAGGGATACAGGGAGACCATGTCTCAAACAAATCCCCAAATTTCCTATCTCTATCTCTTCCATCACCTCCCTCCAGAGATATTCTAGAATATCTTTTAGTTTGTGCTTTGTCCTTTAGGCATATATAAAAATATAATCATATACAGATGGACTTTTCTGTTCCTTCCCCCTTTCTTAAATAAATGGTAACATACTAAACATACTTTTCCCTTTTATTTTTCTCCCCTTACTGACCCTGGAAGTCACAACAGACACATATGGACATACTCTGAGTATATTCCTAATAGTAAGATTGCTGAATCAAAGAGTAGATGCATATTTACTAATCTGGATAGTTGTGGCTACCTTCCCCTCATCATGGCAAAGGTTGCCATTTCCTATGGATTTGCTATAATGTGAGGCAGTTTGTTTGTTTGTTTGTTTTATGTGTATGAGTGTATTGCCTGCATGTATGTAAGTGTCATGCAATGCCCAAGCAGGTCAGAAGGCAGCATCAGATCCCCTGGAACTGGAGTTACGGACAGTTGTTAGCCTCCAAGTGGGTGCTAGGGATCAAACCTCGGTCTTCTGTAAGAGCACTCAGTGCTCTTAACTCCTGAGCTACCTCTCCAGCTCCATGAGGAAGGTTTTTGTTGTTGTCGTTGTTGTGTTTTTGAGACAGGTCTCTCTAGTCCCAGCCGGCCTAGAACTCGATATGATGACCAGGCTGGTTTTGAACTCACAGAGATCTGCCAGGTAAGGCAGGTTTTAAGTGAAATTTATTAGCTGTACTAAGAAAGGTTAAATGTTTGCTCAAAATAACTGAAGCTAGAGCTTATTGTTAGTCACACTTTCTCATCACAGTGACAAGATACCTGACTCAGACAAAAGAGGCAGGATTTATTTAGCTCACCATTTTAGTCCATCAGAGCAGGGAAGGCATGACAGAGTCATTTAACTCAGGGCAGCCAGGAGGCAGAGTAAGAACAGTTACGGGAAAGGGCCAGGGCAAGGCAAAGCCCTCAGCAGCCCACTTCCTCTAAGCAGACCCCACTGCACAGTTTCACCACGTCCCAGTAGTCTGTTCAGCTTTTGAATCCATCAGTGGCTTAAAGCATTCATAGATCAGAACCCTCCAGTTCCAGTCCTTTCTGGAAACTCCTTCACAGACACCCAGAGGTATGCTCCACTAACCTCCTAGGTGCTTCTTAACCCAAGGTGACAGTCAAGACTTGACATCCCCCCCACCCCAGATGCTAACTAGTGGCCCACTGGTCTCACTGGTTCACCATATCATGCTTTTTCCACCGTTTACAGGTGAAGAAACTGATACACACATAAACAAGACCCATCCTCAATGACATAGCATGCTAGAACTTAAAACCTGTGTCCTGACCACCAAGTTAGAACTCTTTTCCAATGAGTTATGAATTTATTTATGATGAACTTGGTTTTCTTATCTGTAGATAGGGAAGAAAAACAGAATAGTTCTTAGGAAGTTAAGAAATCAATGAGATGTTTATAGGTAAATTCTCCCTTGGGTGTGGGAGATATTCTTCAAGATATAACTTAACTCCTTGAGAGGAGTGGGGAATTGTCAGACTGTGGTGTCAGAGCATTAAGAGATGATTTTATGGATGAGAGAGACCATTGTCCCCCCGGTCCACATTCTGTCCATTTCTTGCAGAGTGAACAAAGATGCCGTCATGGTCTGCAAAACTACAAATGGATCTGGACAGAGATGACATTTCCTTAGTGAATTAACGAGTTAAAAAACCCACAAAACCTCCTCCAAACCTGGAGCAACCTGGGGCTCTTCTTTGTGTTTCCTTTGAGACAGGTTGATTGACTTATGTGCAATTTGGGAGCCTGGAGTTTTCCTTCCCTCTGCAAACTGGAACAGAGCCTCTGCTGGTGTTGCGAAGAGCAGTCTGAATGAGGCAGAGAAGGTATGAGTGGGAATTGGACCTGGCCTGAGTGGGAAGGTGGGAGGTGGGTGGGTATAGTTGCCCCTGCCCCAGGCTCTTATTCCCAATAATCTTTGAAGGAATTGGCTCTTTCCTTCTACCCAGAAGTAGAAACCAGAAGTCAGCTCCAGAGCTGCAGCCCTCATCAGGCCTGACTTCTAAGAAGGAGGCTGTGCTGGGGAAACCATCTCTTTCCTTTCCAGGAGGGGCAGTGAGTTGGCATTGCTGTCATTGTCCCCTCCTATTCACCTTAATTGAAAAACTGGAAAATAGCTGTGGGTTATTAATGACCCTTACCCCCTTCCCTGGGCCTCTCCATACTCTGCAAGCCTCCTGAGTGACAGCCCTGGCATATGGGGGGCAGTCTGAGAGCCCCTCCTCTGGGTGGGACCCAGAGCCCTGGCAGATGGACGGCTGTCCAGGGTACAGAGAGCAGTGAGGCCCACAGCATTGAGGCCACACCTCCTGTGTCCAAGGTCTGCATTGTTCTGTTCTGAGGTAGAATTTCTACTGCACTAGCAGCACCTGCCTTCCCCAGAGATGGTGGCAGGACCAACACACAAGTGACAGCTTCAGCTTTATCAGGTAACTGATGGTGGATGACAAGGGCCCACCAGTAGGCCATGGGGAAGAGTGGCCCAGACATCTGGGCAGAGTAAGGGCTCTCTTTTTTCCTTTTGAGTTTGGACATCTCTGCCTCATTGCAGTGTGTCCTTGCTCTAGCTTCTTTTCTGAGACTCTGTCTTGCAGAGGCTGAGGAGGCAAAGAGGGGGATAAAAAAGAGACAGAATGTGATGGTAACATGATTTGGGGATCCAGAAAGATCCGATGAGCTCCACTTGCTGTATGACCAAGGCACACTCAGTCTAGCTCGTACCTCTGATGGTCAGTCTGCTCAGCAGTCCCGAGTACTGGCTCAGAGCTTTCCTTCTTCCATCACTTACACTATGAGTGATGGAATGCCGTCTTTCTTGCCATGATGTCACACAGCCCCCTCCAGTTTGGGGCAGCCAGACATAGTGAAGAGGAAATACTGCCAGACACAGAAGAACCTGAAGGAGTGCAGAGACCACATGCACGCAGACACACAAGGCCACTCTGGGACAATAAGTTCTGAGAAGAGGACCATCAGGGTTCTTGGCTGGTGACGATGGCCAGCATTATCTCTGTGCACATTTGAGTGCTCCCTGGGAGACTCTGCTTTGCACAGACCTGCAGCTTCCATGTGGTCCTCTCACAGCAGCCCTTGAAGCAGGGCCCCTTAGCACCCGTCTTTCACTGATGACAGAATCAAAGTCACAGAGGTAAAGGACTTAGCCAAAGCCTCATCTGAGAAAGTACCACACCTGTATCCAGCTCTGGGTCCTCCACGACTCACTCTTTAGTTTCAGGGCTGAGTGTGTTTTCGACATGGTTTGTCCAGTTTCCTGAGAGCATTGCGTGAAGATTCTGAGCAAGTGTATTCCAGGTTCCAGATGTGATTCAGACTTGGTGGCTCCAGCTGGGAAACCTTAAGCTCTGCCCTTCAAACCTCTTCTGTCTCTTCCTTTGTTCCTAGCACACTGCCATCTGGAGCTGCCCCAGCATCTGCTCCTGAGCCTGGCCCTGCCCTTTTCCATCTCCCACCCCAGCAGGAGAAACCTTCCTGCCCCACATTGCCTCAGCTCTTTGTCAGCTGTGGTCTCTGGGAGCAGACACCTGCCCTCTGATTCATAGCAGAGAAACCACCCAGCTTCCCCAGATCTTTAATTTTCCAAATGGATCCATCTGGTTAATTGCACTCCTACCCCTAAGCCCCTCTGCCTGTCAGCTAGAAACAGCCTTTTCTCTCCAGAAACCTCACCACAGGCCCCTCAGACACAGGGCATGCTCAGGACCAGCAACTATGAATATATGGGGGCAGGGCTGTGGCACTTCGTTGGGGGTGGTTTGACTTCCTTAGACTGATTCCAGGCCATTGAAGCTACACCAACACTTAGCCACCTTTGCCCATGGCACTGACAGGGGTAGGTGTGGGGACAGGGGTGACAGTAGAGACAGCTGGTCCCTCGGGAGTTCCTGCTGCTCACCTCTGTTCTGCAGAAGCCATGTAATCGTATCTAGTGTCTTTTCAACTTTTACATTTTTCTCTTTTTTTTCACACAGAGTTGTACACTGTAACCCAGGCTGGCTTCAAACCCACAGTCATCCTATCCTGCCTCTGTCTCCCAAGTGCTGAGATCACAGGTATACCTGGCTCCCTCCTGGCCTTCTGTGCTAATCCATGCCCATCTTCCTAACAAAGGCTGGGGACAACTATACCCTGAATTCTGCTTTCTAGTAAGAGGGCTAGAGATTATGGTAGCAAGCCCTCCCCCCAACAACCCCCAGCTCACAGTCTATGGTGTCTGCACATGTAGCCACCAGCACTTCTCACAACCAGACTCCCAGCCAAATGGCATGACTTAAAACTTGGGAAAAATCCCACCCTGTCTGTTGCCTCCCCCTTTTTGCAACCCCCTCCTCACCTTCTGTTTTCACATCCTTCCTGTCTGTGGGAGCCTGCCTGCTGGGATGGCAGTTGGATGCAGACTACTGTCTGCCTGGGATATAAATGCAGAAGGCAGAGAGAGGAAGGGAGGGAGGAAGAAGGAAGGGAGGACAGATGTAGCTCTCTCCTGCTTCTGTTCCCCACTTGTCAGAAGACAGGAATTTAAAAATGCAATGGTGGTGCACTGTCTTTGGAATAGCAGCAGCTAAACCACTATTGGCACAGAATGGAAGTCCCTTCAAAACTGACTCCACTCCCTTGACAGCTGCCAAAGGCCTGGATTCTGGTAGAAGGAGCTGATGGGATGAAGAATGTGGAGTGCTTCAGAGGAGGGTGTGTCAGAGCAGAAGGGAGGAGGACGGAGGCACTGTGGCTGGTCTGGGATCCTGCAGGGGCCTCCTGTTCTGTCTGGATGGAACCAGATAGTGTCTGCAGATACTCCTGTGTTGGTCCTAAGAGTAGATGGTGGCTCCCTGGACATAGGGCCAGCATGGGGTGACCTGCATAGACATTGTCTGCCTTACAGATATATAAAATAGGTGTGACAACCCAGATTGTGCAAAACCAAGGAGCAACACAGTACCCCAATTGTGATTTAGGGGGAAGGAGAAAAATCCAAGGTTCCTGAAAGACAGGAGCATGCCTGGCCTTAGGCGATGCTGTTCATGCATGGAGGTTTATGGATTCATTTGACAGTGGTCACACAGCAGTCCTGCAATAAATGAGTGCATATGCCCCACTCCTAAAGACAGAAGAACTGCTGCTCTAAGAGAGAACAAGCAAGTGCCTGAAGGTGCTCAGCCATCAGTGGCTGAGGTCAATGGCTGAGGTAGGCCTCAAACTCGGCATGTGGGGCTCCAAGCCCAGGCCCCATGTGCCAGGGAGATCACATGTCACTTCTTAAAGCAAAATCTTTGAGGCTCCAGTAGGTGGGTCTGGCATATTCTCCCTGCTCTGTATGGGGTCCCTGCTAGTTACTAAGCTCAGCTTTGTTCTGCTCTGTGCTGACACTCACTTCTGTGACAGGACTGAGGACAAAGAAGACATTTCCCTTGCCCACACAAAGCTCATAATCTGGTTATGGAGATGAAGGTCTCCATATTTTTCCCTACCCCAAGTTTCTCCTAAGTCTTGTCTCTCTTTTTTTTTTTCCTCTGCTAGAATCAACCTGGTTCCTAACTGCCTTTAAAACGGTATCTGTTCAAACTAGGCTTGGATTCCCTCATAGAAGGAAGACTAAGACGCTTAACATGAAAAGTATCATGAATAGATGTGTCCAGTGGGTCCTCAGGTGGACTGTGGTCTGAACTCCAAATGGACAGCCACCAAGCCTGGAAACCCACTAGGCAGTGCTGGATGTGGGGGAGCTAAAGTTTGGAATTCAGAGGCTCGGTACTTCCTTTTGGAAAGGAAAAGGGAGTTCACTATTCAAGAGTCACTTTCCCTTTATCTCAAAACCTCATGCTTCCTTAACGTTTTGTTTTCAATTTACGATTTTATAATTTTCTCCTTAAATCTTATAAACTTTAACAATCACTTATTTGTCTCCATTAATAAACAGTTGATTTAATTCATTTGAGAATTTGAAACTTGATTTGTAAATTTGATCATTCATTTCTCTTAAGAAATATCACAATTTTTTCTAGGGCTAGAAAAATTGTGGCTCAGTGGTTAACAGCACTGACTGTTCTTACAGAGGACCTGGGTTCAATTCCCAGTACCCACATGGTGGCTAACAGCCATCTTTAACTTCAGTTCTAGGGGAATCCAACGTCTTCTGACTTCCGTGGGCATTGGACAACAGGGGTGTAGTTACACACATGCAGGCAATACATTCATGCACATAAAACAAAAATGATGAATAAAATATTAAAAAGGAAGTATCACAATTTTTCTAACAAATCCAAGTTTTTATGTATTGTTAATACTTTAAAATAACAATTTTAGTAATTTGTAATTCACGTACTGTAAAATTATCCATATAGAGCATACTGCTCAGTGACTTGATGTATGTAGTATATTGCTAGTGTCTAGTGTTGGGCAGCCACCATCAAAATGAACTCTTGTAATTTCATCACCATTCTCAACCCCCCAAAGCAGTCTCTTTCCTTCCCCATTCTACCCCAGTGCCAGGCAGCCACTGGCCTACTTTCCATGAATCCACCTGTTCTAAATATTTCATATACATGGAATCCTGCAATATGTGGTCTTTGTGTCTGTTTTTTTTACTTAGCAAGACAGTATTGAGGTTCATCCAAGCTCTAACGTATAAGCACTCTGTTCCTTTTTACAGCTGAGCAACATCCATTGCATGGATAGACCATTTTGTTTGCATGAAGAGAATGACCCGCCCATATGGGAACTCTGTGCTTCCCTCTCTAAAGAGCACTGTGTCTTCTAATACTAATTCCAAGGATGCCTTTCTGGCCTTCTATCTGTAGCTCTGTCTTCT